CTGTGCCAGTGTGAAGCCATTCCCCCTTGCCCTGTCTCCCTAAGTCCTTTTAAATTCTCTTTCTCCATCTTTCTTGTTGGCTGCTTCAGCTATGGGGATTAGGTCTGCCCAGAGCCTTCTCCTCTCCAGGCTGAGCAATCCCAATTCTCTCAGCCTTTCCTTGCATGGGATGTGTTCCACACCTCTGGTGCCCTTCTCTGGACTCATTATCACAAGAGTGCTGGAGGAGCCCACAGAGCTGTGGAAATATTTCTCCATGGTGGCACTTCCCCTCCTTTAGCAGTTTAGAAAGGAATTTGTGGAATCTTCCCACACAATCCAATCTGGAAATAAGAAGTGGGCCCACAACTGCAGGAATCAATTTAAGCACCCACCCCAAGACACTGCAGAGGGTTTCAGTGCTACTGGTACCCCTGTGTGTCTGACCACAGGCACTATTTCTGACCCTGCTGCCTCCCAGCCCAAGAGATGAAAAATCCCTTTGGATTTTAGTATTTTGTTTCTAAACTGTTTGGGGAAAACCTCGCTTCATGGGCTCATGGTCATGGTTGTCGCTCTGATTTTTTTAAGATTTTCTAAGCCTTCTGATGTTTGCATTCTTGGATCAAACTTTCTCACACACTTTCTGTAAACAACTTATTGTTTTGTGTTATGAATAAAAATATACCTATTTTTATTTAAGGTTACAGAGAAAAAAAACCGGTGAGACCAGTTGCTGTTAAATTAGCTTAATTGTAAAGAGTTCTTTAATTGCCCGTTAATGGTTGGTGATTTAGCCATTGTTCTCCCAATGCTTGCCCCGGAGCTACACCTGGACACGCAGCCCAGGAGAATAGGAGTGGCCTGAGACCACGTATGCAAATGAGAAATGCACCGCGCTAAAGTTTTCCTAGAAAACCCCTAAAAACAAGGAGCCAACACAGAATTAGGGGACCCTAGGTGATGTCTAAGGATGGGCGTGAAGTCCAGTGCCTGCTTGGATCCTTTTTGCTTCACACCCTGACCTCAAGAGATGTTCCATAAGGAGGGGACCCGAAGTGTTGGACTGAAAAGCAGGAATCTGCCAATCTCCCGTGAGGACGCAGTCCCCAGCTCTGCCTGCAGACCAGCGGACAGAGCTGCATCACCCTCCTCCTCCGTGCCACTCTTGGGGACAGCGGCGGCGTGGGCGCGACCCGTCGATTTCTCCCCACCTGAGCTGAATCTCTTTAATAAAGGCATTGAAAAGGAGAAAGATCTCCTGCCTTATTTATGTCATTTTGCATTCTTTTATGGAAGAGGAGGAACTTGAGGGACTGTTGATTTGTCCAGTGTCCTTGGAGAGACGGCACTGTCACCCTCCAATCCACTGTTACCTTTGGAAATCTGTAAATGTTAAAAAATAAACTTCCCTTTTTCCTACCTTGAGAGCAACAGCGTATCTGCATTGTGTTTTTTCCTGTCCTGTAGAAACATGTGGTCACTGTCCTTGCCTCTCGACAGCCTGAGGCATGGCATGACCAGACAGGACTTTCTCTCCTTATCTTCTGACGGGTTGCAAATTGAAACTAGCACTATCAGCCCCGGTTGTGCGTGCTAACTGGAAAAAAAAATAAGATATCAGGTACTTGGAAGATAACATGGGTATTCAAACCACAGCCAAGACCCAGCCTGGTGCCAGTGAATGCAGTGCCAGGAGGTCTCTGCCTGGAGCTGGGGAGACTGGAGCAATGCTGCTGCATCCTTTTGCCCTGGATTTGTGCAGTGCTGCTGCTGGAGAAGGCACAGCCGTGGTGGGAGGGGACCCACAGAGGCAGAGAAGGCCTTAGAGAGGCATCCTTTGCCACCTTCACGGGCAGGGGGCAAAATCTCCCCACACTGGTGAATTTCCACACTGGAAGTGGGCTCCTGCTGCTGTGCCCATGTGCCAAATTTTAATTTGCATTTTAATTCCAGCACAGTGCTTAGAGCTGCCAGGAAACCACCACGCTGCTCTCCAGCTCAATGAATTAATCTCTGGCAAATGCCATCATCAGGAAGTTACTATTCCTTTCCAACACCACAGCTTTGGGGAAAAAAAACCCAAAAAAACAAACACTTCCTATGACTGGATTAGTGAGATGTGAGATAAAGTAAAGCTGCCTCACAAGACATCCAGATTCCTAAAAATGCTGTCCAGAGAAAGGAACAGAGCTGGGGAAGAGGCTGGAGCTCCAGGAGAGGCTGAGGGAGCTGGGAAGGGGCTGAGCCTGGAGAAAAGGAGGCTCAGGGGTGCCCTTGTGGCTCTGCACAGCTCCTGCCAGGAGGGGACTTCCGGGGGGTCGGGCTGTGCTCCCAAGTCCAACTGGACTGTCCAGTGCAGGGACAGCTGGAGCAGGTGACACAGGAACAAGTCCAGATGGGGTTTGAATGTCTTCAGAGAGGCAGCCTTCCACCACAGAAGTTTGCAAAAAAATTGCATTATAGACGTGTAATATGACAGAGGGTCTCCTAGGCAACTTCCAAAGGTTTTGGTCACTTAGGCCATGAGCCTTTCAAGAGCTGAGCATAGGTAGGCTGCATTGCACAGTAATTTCTTGTACAGCTGGCTATCACCGTTTCCTGTGTTTAATGGTTCTCCAAGAATTTTGACAGCCTTTTCAGTGCCACAGTTATTATCTTTAGGTCTTCTCTTTCACCTCCAAATAATTTCCTGCACTTAAGCATCATTATTCCTTTGGTTGCACAATTATGCCACCCCCTTAAAATCCATGCTATATTTGGACATGGAGAATACACTGTTGGATCCATCCACTCTTTTTTATTTCCTTTTAAACCTAAAATAACAAGTAATGAAAGGAATAAACACCCACAGAGCCTCGGTATTGTCTTGTTACACAGCAGCCACTGAGACCCCAGGTCAGAAGCAGCTTCTTCAACAAAGACTTGCTGGAGGAGATTCAGATAACTGTTGGTGGGTGACCTGACCAGTGCCCTGCCATCCTCAGTGGAAAAACTCAGGTGGAAGTTTTGGCGTTTTTTTGCCAGTGGGCACCAGCAAAACTAGTCTGAAGGTATTTATATGGATTGGAGGTATTGGTATGGATTTCAGGTATTGGTAGGGATTGGGGGTATTGCTATGGATTTGGGGTATTTGTAGGGATTGGGGGTATTGATATGGATTTGGGTATTGGTATGGATTGGGGGTATTGGTGTGGATTTGGGTATTGGTATGGATTGGGGGTATTGATATGGATTGGGGGTACTTATGTGGATTGGGGACATTTATATGGATTGGGGGTATTGTTATGGATTGGAGGTATTTGGAGGGACTGGAGCAGGTGGTATGGATTGGGTTATTGGTATGGATTGGGGTATTGGTAGGGATTGGGGGTAGTGGTATGGATTTGGGTATTGGTATGGATTGGGGGTATTGGTATGGATTTGGGGTATTTATGTGGATAGGGGGTATTCATATGGATTGGGGTATTGGTATGGATTTGGGTATTGGTATGGATTGAGGTTATTGCTATGGATTGGGGTAGTGGTATGGATTGGGGATATTGGTATGGATTTGGAATATTGGTATGGATTTGGGTTATAGCTATGGATTGAAGTTATTGCTATGGATTTGTGGTATTGATATGGATTGGGGGTATTGGTATAGATTTGGGTATTGGTATGGATTGGAGGTATTGATATTGATTGGGGGCATTTATGTGGATTGGGTATATTTATATGGATTGGGAGTATTGATATGGATTGTGAGTATTTGTAGGGATTTGGGTTATTGTTATGGATTGGAGGTATTGGTATGGATTGGGGGTAGTGGTATGGATTTGGGTATTGGTATGGATTGAGGTTATTGCTATGGATTTGGGGTAGTGGTATGGATTGGGGGTATTTATATGGATTTGGAGTATTGGTATGGATTGAGGTTAGTGCTATGGATTGGGGTTATTGCTATGGATTGAGGTTATTGCTATGGATTTGGGGTATTGATATGGATTGGGGGTATTGGTATAGATTTGGGTATTGGTATGGATTGGGGGTAATATGGATTGGGGGTATTGGTATAGATTTGGGTATTGGTATGGATTGGAGGTATTGATATTGATTGGGGGCATTTATGTGGATTGGGGGTATTTATATGGGTTTGGGGTATTGCCATGGATTGGGGGTATTTGTAGGGATTTGGGTTATTGGTATGGATTGGAGGTATTGATATGGATTAGGACTATCGCTATGGATTGGGGGTATTGGTGTGGATTGGGGGTATTGGTATGGATTTGGGGTATTTATGTGGATTGGGGGTATTTATATGGGTTTGGGGTATTGCCATGGATTGGGGGGATTTGTAGGGATTTGGGTTATTGGTATGGATTGGAGGTATTGATATTGATTGGGGGCATTTATGGGGATTGGGGATATTTATATGGATTGGGAGTATTGATATGGATTGTGAGTATTTGTAGGGATTTGGGTTATTGTTATGGATTGGAGGTATTGGTATGGATTGGGGGTAGTGGTATGGATTTGGGTATTGGTATGGATTGGGGGTATTGATCTTGATTGGGGGCATTTATGTGGATTGGGTATATTTATATGGATTGGGAGTATTGATATGGATTGTGAGTATTTGTAGGGATTTGGGTTATTGTTATGGATTGGAGGTATTGGTATGGACTGGGGGTATTGGTATGGATTTGGGGTATTTGTGTGGATTGGGGGTATTGGTATGGATTGGGGGTATTGGTAGTGGTTAGGGGTATTTATGTGGATTGGGGGTATTTCTATGGATTTGGGGTGTTGCTATGGATTTGGGGTGTTGCTATGGATTGGGGGTATTGCTACGGGTTGATGATGCTTTCTCAGGGCGAAGGGAGCAGCGCTGCCCCCTCCGCCCGTCACCGCACCGGGGCAAGGACTCGACCCCCCCCCACCTTCGCCGAGACCGGGACTCGAACCCGCGGCGCCGAGGCGGGGGGCGGGCGCGCAGGCGCGCGCAGGCCCGGTGCGTGCGGGGCGGGGCGGGGCGCGCGGGCCCTTATCCTGCGGGAGCGGCGGCGCCGGGAGCGCCTTTGCGCTCCACTCGTCCCCGCAGCGACGGCTGGCCGCACTGCGCTCGCAGACATGGACGAGGAGCGGGTGAGTCCTCCGCGGGGCTGGGGCTGAGGGTCGCCCGGGAGGCCGGCAGGCCCGCAGGGCGTTTCCCCCGCGATTCCCCGGCGCTCGGCCTGGGAAGAGGCGCGGTGCGGGAGGGCAGCGGCGCGGGGAAGGGATGCTGGTGGAGTTGTGAGGGATCCCGAGTGCGCTTCCCTCCTGGGTGTGCCTCCCTCCTTCGGCGTCACCTGCTCCGGGTGAGCCTGCTTCGCCACGGGTATTGGGTTGGTCCTTTCCAGCCCTGGCTGTTCCCTGGTTCTGGAATGAAGTGCTCCAGCGGTTGTAGAGCTTTTTCATTCTGTGTATTCCTGTCATAAGTAATTACGGTGCGTGCGTAAGCCCTTCTGTTTGCCGTTGATGTAATCTGGTGTTGAAGGGCACTAATGCATAAAAGGGTTTTGTGGGGGAATTTTTTTTTTTTCTCCCTGTGGTTGCTGCCCTGTAATTCCTTCCTTCCCTTGCTTGCCGTCAGACCCCTCGGGGAACTCACTGAAGGGCAGGGATGCTCGCACCCAGGCCTTGGGGCTTTCTTGAACAGATATTCCTCTGCAAAAAGTTGTGGCTCGGCCTCTTGGCTTCCAGTCCCTCAGTGCAGAAGGGCTCCTCTTCCTGTGTCCTGTGGATGCTGTGTTTCCTCAGCTTGGGAACGGGTTTGTGTCTGGGGGTCCTGAGTAATTTGGTGCTGATAATGAAATTCACAGATCTGTGTAATTTTCTCCCGCTAAAGCCAAGCGCCCACACTGCAGGAGTTACTGGGAAGTTGCTGAGGAAATTAACGTATCCCAGCCACGACAGAACTTGCTGTGAGTTCACAGCTGGCAGCCCAAGGCGTCAGCAAATCCAGCTCCTCATCCTCAGCGAGCAACACCCTAAACCACAAAATACTGTAATTCTGTATAACGTATTTTACATAAAACTTATTTATGCTAAGCAGTTCACATCTCTGAAGGTGTGCTTTGGAATGTGGGATGTGAAATGCCATAAGAAGTGTGCTTCTGGTAGAAACTGTCGATTTGGGTCTGTCTGCCTGCCCTATGTGAGATTTGTCCCTCCCAAGGAGGACTGCCCCTGTTGTGGGTGCTCTAGGGATGTTTTTGAGTGGGGTTGTTGATGATATTTGAATTCCAGAGGTTCTGAATGCAGCAGTGAAACTGCAGTGGATCTTGTATTTTACAGTACTTGCTCTGCCAAGGGTTGATTTGGTAATGTCACCTGTACTGTATGAAGTTCTTCAAACTCTGGCAACCTCACTGTGTTGACAAGTGCAGGAGTTTAAATTAATGGAAGCTAAGTAAGCACGACCTCCTTGAAATTTGACCTGGATATGAAGGTTATGATGTCTCGTGATTTTGTCCTAGACCCAGGACTGCTTCAGCAACTGTTCTGCATGCAGTCAGCTCGTGAGCCTTCAGTATGATCTTGAGCAACTTTGAAACTTGCTTCTTATGCAGCATTGCTGTGATTGTTTCATTTATCAGAATTTAGTTTTTATGAGGTGCTTGTCTGCTTCAAGAGGTGCCATGTCATGTTAGTTACCCACATTCAAAGGTGGATGTTCTGTTTTTATCCACCTTGCAAGACAAGAAACTACATGTTGTAGGGCTCCCTTTTATTTTTTTCTGTCCTTTTTTACTCTTCCTCTTTTGCTCATCCACACTTTTGCTTTCCCAATGATGTGTTTGGGTTGTTTTCCTTTATTTTTTGGTTCCCTAGCAAAGTGCATTAGATTCAGAGAGGAAGAATAGGACACAAAAGGGAAAAGCATCATGAAGCTCACTGGCAGCAGCAAAAATTACCTCTGTAATAAACATTTCATAATGCTTTGAAAATCCATTTGAAACTGACCTCACATAGAGGTCAGAGAGAAAGCTCAAAGAAAATTGGTTGTAATAGAATTCTGTGAAAAACTGCATTCATCAGTGAGCAGTAGAATTAAATGTCCTTTAGTGCAGAAATACCAAGAAACTTCACTGGGCTTAGTGCTGTTGAAATTCTTCTAAAAACTAATGCAGAACGTAGGCCTCTTCTGCTGCTTACATAGATAATTTTTCTAGAAGCCTGTTTTTCCGTTAAATTATACTGGCTTTTCAGAAATTCCCCTTAAAGGGAGAAATGGAAACACTGGAGCATGTTTTTAATTGCCATGTATGGTACATCTGGAAGGAAATCTATTTATTGCTTATTAGTGAAGAGAAAATTATGTTGGGAAATAGAATAAGATGGTTGTTCCTAAAAGCTGCCTTTGTTGTTGTGGTGGCTTGTGCATTGGTATTCTAGAAAAATTCTATCTACTGTTGGTGCGTACTTCTAAAGAGCATTCAGACTCTGTAGCCATGATATTTTCTGAAAAATGTTTTTGCCAGGATGTTTTTCCTGAGGAGTCTCAGGAGAGAAATGTAAACAATTACTATCTGCTGCTGTGGAATGCAACAGGTGCATCTGTGATTGGTCCATGTGGATTGTTTTCCATTGATAACAGCCTGTGCCAAGGCTGTGAGCAGTCACAAGTTTTTGTTATGCATTCTATTACCGTTCTTTCAAGGTTTCTGATTATCTTTTTCTCTCTGTTATTTTAGTATAGTTTTAATGTAGCATTTTAATATAACATATAAGATAATAAACCGACCTTCTGAAACATGGAGTCAAGCCTCGTGTCTCCACACATGGGGAGTTCCCAACAAAACTGATGAAAATTTCACCAAACCTGGTTGAATTTTGTGACAGAGAAATTGGTAGCTTACTTAAAAAGAGCCATACCAGCCCACATCTGGTCAATTAGCTGTAACTTTAGGTGAAAATCTTGTTTAACAGCTGGCTTGCAATTGCTGCTGTGCGTTTGGCTGTGTAAAGGCCTTTAAAATGTTCCTCACATGTAAATGTTTCCCTTTAACCAGGACGTAGCTATAAAACCAAGCAGCATTGTTCAGCACTGCACACAAGAACACTTTTCCCCCATGTGTTGCAGCTGAGTAAGCCCTAAGATCCGTGCTGAAAGAGGATTGTGGGTTTTCCGTGTTCATCCAAATTGACAGTTGTGCTCATAGGATCTAAGGCTTATCTCCAGGCTATCTGGCCTGTGAAAACAATTGCTCCTGGTCAGTGGTGAATGCAGAAGCAGCTGGCTGGACAATGGCTATTCATCTGGCATTCTGATGTCTACTAAATTGCCTTCAAACATGCTCAATTTTCGCCAGGCGAGGAGGAGGTTCAGTAATGAAGTGGTCAAGATTTTCTGTGCCTCTGTTTTCCATAAGAAGCCAAAGTGTTTCTGTTCCTCGAGAGTGCAGACCTGAGTCATTGCTCTCTGTTCTGTTACCTCTGCATGTAACACCATCAACACCTGTGGTAAAAGCACTAAAATTTGGTTTTTTCTACTTTAATTTCCTGAGTATGGCTCTGTTAAACAGGCAGGGGCTGGAGTACCCATAAATATCTTGTAGATTTGTTGGCAACTGCCTGGGGAGGTGTCAGAGGAAAGAGGAAGGAGCACAGCTTAGGACTAATAGAGAAGTTCTTTAAATCTGGCGTGGTGTTGAGGTTCACTGTGGGTGTTGTGAAAGCATAAAACATTTTTCTTGCTTTTTAGCAGACAAATGTGGTCTGGGTAGTACATGGTTATTAAGAAATGGCTTCTGGGAGGGACTTCTGCAGCATCCCTTTGGTGTGGTTGTTTCCAAGGTGTATTTTATTATCTCCCTGTGCCTTGGTTTCCTAAATTTTATCAGGTAATGACATTAGGATGGGCAATTGAAACTCTGGATCAGCTGATTAATAATGTTTTAAGACAATGTTGATCTGTCTTTTTAAAGTTAGATTTGCTTCTAAAACTTATCAGCCAGCCTGAGTTAAATTACAGGAAATTCTTAGTTAACTCCTCATATTATCCTTTATTTTTACTTGCATATCCTGATATGCTTTATTAATACAACTTTACTTAAAATTGAACAATACAACCTGACTTAAAATTAAATACCAAGCATTAGTGTGTTTTTGTCAAATTCTTAGAATATGTGGCTAGCTGCTCAACAAAATTAGACTTGGTGATCTTATTTAAATTTAAAATAACTTTTGATGTACTTTAATAGTTTTTCTGGCTTGCTGTATGTTTTGTAAGCTGAATCTACTGCTTTTTGAAACAGCTGGGATGCACACCACTGAAATAACCTTGGTTCTCTTTCTCAGCTGTTGGAAGCTTTCCTCTTTGAGGTCACTTTTTAATTTGAATATAGAAATTACTCACGCGAAATATTTTCCCACTTGTAGAATAAGTTTACAAATCACTTTTACAGCTTTATTCTGCATGTAGAATAAACTGTCAGCATGGTTATTTCACAGCAGCTTCTTTTGACATGAGGAAATCTCAGCTTTTCTTCTGGGTTTCCTTTTACCAGCTTTTAAAATTTTCTTTATTGGTTCTTTTTTTTGGCTGCACAAGCACCAGCTTTCTCATCTGGAGAAGCTGTGGTGCCAGTGGGTATTTTGGTGCAGGTGACTTATGTAGAAAACCGTGTGAAACAGTGGGTATCTTAAAGCAGGCACTTGATTTCTCTCAGACTAACACCTGGAGATCTTTAATTTAGTGTAATGCTTCCTAGAGGTTTAATATTCTTTCTCTGTCCTGAGAAAATGCATTTTCTGATCCCATCAGAACTGAATTTGCTGCAGCTGTAATGTCTGTGATGAGTTTTCACGCATGTTGAAGTGGTGATGATTTGAAAAAAATACTGCAAGACAATCTTTTACAACTTCTCTTACTTGTTTTTTAATTCTAGGAAACTCTGCAAAGGATTGTCAATACGCTAGTGGCCAAAAATGATGAAATTCACAACTTCATTGACATGCTGAACCATACAATATTAAATGTTCAGGTATTTATTTTAAGGCTCATAGCTTGTGTCTGAGGGAGGGGGGCACCTTTGCACTTTTCTTAGTCTCAAACTCTGTAGTGTCTAAAGGATGGGCTGGGAGGATCCAGTTCAAAATACATCTTCATGTTGGAACTAGATAGAAAAACATTTTATTTTTTAAGTCTGTCTCTAGATGACAGGTGTGGTGGTCTTGCATTTTGTGTGAAGAGGTTTTGTAGAACTTCATTTGTGTGGGAAAGATCACCTTTAATCTGATGCAAGATCTGAGTCTCCCATTAGTGGGAAACAGTCTTTTCAGACTATTTCAGTGGGAATAGTATTTTCAGACTTGTGCTCTGTTTGGCAGACTGAAAAATGATACTTGAGAGAACATTCTTTAGTTTTTCTATTTCCACCAGTTTCAAATTGTTGGGCTCAAGTTTATAGTTAGACATGATTGTTAGAGCATCTGCATGAGGATGAGGTTTAGGTTCGTTCAGCCTGTCAATCAGCTGAAAGTTGTTTCTTCCTAAAGCTGAGTCAGGTTGGCTGCAGAAATGGGAATTATCCAGCAAATCTTTAAAACTGCCTTCTTGAGTGCAGTTTTTAGCATCAAGTGAAATATTTTTATTTGGAACTGAGCAACTTCCTTCTTCCAGACATCTAGCAATCCATATACAGTTGTGTGAGGAAAATCAAGGCTTTTGGCATGGAACAAAGTTGCCAAGTGTGCTGGTTTTGTGCAAGTTTGAGTATCATGGAATTTTCACAAACTGCAGCATTCTGTGTCCTGATAGTCTGCTTGGGAGACTGTTAGATAATTCCTAATGTTTTTCCCCTTTTTTGATAAGCCGAGAAGCAGTCACAAGGTGTCCAGTGGTCATGGGAAAACACGTGTAGGGAATTGTGTGACCTTCAGTTTCTTGGCAGCGTTTCCAGTTTTAACAGTATTTTCAATTCTCGTCTCAGGCAAACTCCTCCAATGCCATCAGCGGGCTGGATGAGGAGTTTGATGGTCTGTATTCTATCCTACATGAGATGAAGGGGAGCATGGCAAACACTATTCAGCAAGAAGAAGCTCGTAAGATACAAGCTCTGCGGGTAACTAAAAAAATATTTATTTTTTTTAATGAGCTCTGCAGCTTATAAAAAAATTAAAACAAAAGTCTGAAAAAAATGTTGCAGCTGCAGAGAAGCATTTTAAAACTTCCTCTGTTCCTGTTATGCTATCCCCATTTGTTACACAGGAATATTGATTTTCAGGATTGTCTTGTGACATTTCCAGAGCTGGTAAAGTCACTGTCTTTTTCAAGGCTATTGCTACACAGTCATTCAGTGATGAAGTGCAGTCCTGTAAATAGAAATTGTAGGGCACATGAATACAAGTGTTTACTTTTCTGCTTTCTGAAACCCTGAAGCTGGGGGAAACAGGACATTGAAACGAAATCTGGCTTTTAAGTCAGACTTCAGCTTTCCCCCCCTTGGAGTTGTGCGATGTGCCAAGTATCACTGTGCACTTGTCAAGCACAGTGAAGTGAGGGCACTGTCAGAGGCCTTGGTTATATAAGGGAATAAGTTGTCACAAATGCATAACAAACCCGTGAAGTTCCTGGGACTGGTGGCTCACAAACTGCTGTTTTGGTGGGAATACATCACATTATTCTTACTATGTTTGCTCCAGGATCAGCTGAGCCAGTGCAGCCGTGCCCTGGAGAGCTCAGAAGAGCTGCTGCAACTCGCTGTGCAGTCACTGGACATAGAGAACCCTGTGGAGCTCTTCGAGGTAGAAAACATTGCCTGGATGTGTGTGAGACAGGTGTTGACATCTGTCTTGATTTGAAATATCCTTTGCATTACTCTCCTGGACACTGCAAACTTACCAGTGTACTTAGAGTGAGGATAGACAAGCATATAAAAATACAGGTAGTGCTCTACTGAAAAGCCAAGTTAAACATTGTGGTCCTGAATTTTTGTGCAATTTCTGATAAAATAAGTTGGCTTTTTTCTAATTTAGGGTGACCGGGAGGGAATACAGTGCCTTCTCCTGGACAACTGTTATTGTTAAGCAAACTTGCACGGATGACCCCAGAAAGGGAGGTGAAATAACATGTATCTAACTGGAAGAATATACTTGCAAATTAAAGAAACAGTTCCACCTGTCCACTGAATCAGTACAGTCATGCTTGCTACAGTAATCCTAGTGGTAGGGGATCAGCCGTGCCAAATCCAAGGCCCAATTAATTTTTTTTTCTCTTTACATTTTAATGGGAACAAGGACACAAATCAGTTTAAAAGGGGGAAAGCTGTGTTCCTGTGTCAGTTTTACCTTTTGTCTGCATGTTCGTGTGCTGTCATGCTTTCTGGGTGCAGCTTTGATTTATTTGCCTCGAATAACTGCAATTCCTAAACAGTATTTTTCTTCAGCTGGAGTTGTCCTTTCTGCCTTGTAGCAAAAAATTAAGTTGGCTCTTGAACTCTTTGCAAAATGCAGCTTTGACTTTCTTGGAAGTTGTTCTATTTCAGATCTCTCTAATGCTTTTTTTCCCAATCAAACACACCAAGGAAAGCTAGCTGAGCATTTGCTGGGGAAAAGCCTCTTCAGATCTGGAGTCTGAAGATTAAGATACTGAAATCCAATATGTAGGATTTGATACTGGTATTACATGTGTGCATTTGGGGATGACATTTTAAGGTAATATTGCCTTGCTTATTAGGCAGCTAATTGTATTGCTCTGCTGGTAGGAATAGTAAGTGTTCCTGAAGGGGCAGCTCCAGCCCTGACTCTTGTATATTCACAAATTTTCTTTGGATACTCCAGTAAATCAGTTCAGGAGCAACTAGCATAAGATTATTTAAATTTTTTTCTCCTGTGTTATGTTTTTGTGGTTTTATTCTCAGAATTAATTTTCCTGGAAGTCAAAAGAACATGAGTGGCAGATTGTAGGAGGGTTCAGTGTTTAGGTAGGATGTGATCAGACACTGCTGGGCAGCTCCTCGAGGATGGGCTGCTCCTGCTCTGTCAGTAGCCTGGAAACAAGCTGAAGTCAGTGAAGTTAAGCTGGGACTGTCTTGCAGAAGATGTTGAGTCCTGGCTACCTGATATTTTACAAGACATGGAGATGAAACCCAAGGATTTTGTTGGGAAGTATCTCTGTTTTATGTCATGCAGGAAAATCAGTCAGTAATTCCTACAGTAACTTTGTTTTGAGGTAAAGCAAAGCTACCTTTTAAGCTAAATTATTTCTAAACACTTGGTTTGGTTTTTTTTCTGCTTCCCACTTTAGGAGCGTATAATCAGTTTTGTAGCAGGGACAGCCTGATTTCCCTTGTTTTCTCAGTGTGATTTGTATTTAGTGAAAAATTGGGAAGTTCTCCACTTTGGACTTCAAACTGGGAAGCTGCCTGATGATTCTTGTCCCTTTGAAAGGGAAAATAATTCAGCTGAATGAGCAACTGGATCAAGGAGCAGTGTTGAAGTAAGGCTTCAACAGACACAACCAAGCCCTCACTACTTCAGCAATAATCTGTTGTCTTAGGTTTGTTGCTCCTTTTGGTGAAGGAGAGAGATTTCTCTCTTTCCACATACCAGCTGATATTTATCTTTTAAATGTCAGCACTTCTGCATCTGCTTCAGTGTTATTATTTGAGAGGAGCTATTTGCTGCCATTTTTGAATGCTGACATGTGGAGAGAGTTTGATCATAGTTTTCCAACTACACTTCCTACCTTTCAGAGGAAAAGTTAGAATTAAGTCCTTTTTTCTCTTATTTATCAGGGCATGTGTAGTTCAGCAAGTCAGGCATGCTCAATGCCACAAATAAGCAGTTGTGTTGTTTCACAGAAAATACCATGGCAGTTAAATGTTATTGGCTTGGTCCTGTAGCTCTTTTAAAAAGCCATGGAGGTAAGTCTAACTGATTTAAGACAAATCTGAAAATACAAAGTCATACTCAGAAAGTTGAGTAATTTGGGGTTGGTTTGGTGTGGTTCTGAAATCAGCTTTTTCCCCCACCCAGATGTTACAGTGTTGCTGTGCTAACCCATGCTATTAACATGCTTCACGGGACGGTTTATTTTGAGGAAGATGTTAAGCTCATTTTGAACTTCAAATCTGTGCAATGCAGCAGAGATTGTTCTTGGCCTTCTTGCATGTTACTGCTGTTGATACTTGAATGGAAATACTAACTACTTTCTCTCTCTTCTCCCTGACATGGATCAAGGCTTTCAGACATATCAAAGATAGGTATGGTACAAAATCTATCACTTTTGTGTCATTGAATTAATCTTATCCTTGAAAATGCATTTACTGTAAAAGGGCCATAGTCAGCTTTAATCAAATTCATTGACTCTTTTCTAAGTGTTAGTTATCACAGCTTCTGAGAGGGAACTAAAAACTTCTGTGCTGCTCTAGTATTGTTTTTCCTGACTTTCCATAACTTTAAATAAAAATATATTTTTCATGCAGGAAAGTGGAGCTCTGCATCAGCTGCTGCTGCAATTACTATGTCTTTTAATATATATGTATATAATTATTATTGTTAATAAGCTTATTATTAATACCTCATGGCTGAAATTTAATGATATTTCAAGCTGACTCTGCCCCTTTTAGTTGTGAGAGAATCTTGTTGGGTTTTTTGTTTTTTGAAAGACTTGCTAGCTAATTTTTCTTCAAAATGTAAAAAGTCTTGTAGCTGTTGAAACACTTGTGGTGACACTAGTACAGTGAAAGTATTTCTCGTAGCTTTTCTTTGAATGATTGTTTAAAAAGCAAAACTTGGCTGTTTAAAAATCAATACTAAGGCCATTTTGTTCACTTGGAAGAATGTTAACTCTATTCCAAAAGTATGACCTTTTAGTTCAGAAAACTTTATGTGGTGTACATAATATTTTGAGAAGCAGCTCACAGGGTGTTGTTGCTTTTTGGACCAAATAGGTTAGCTTTCAGTGTACAGGTTTTTTAGTGAAGGCTCTGATTTACTAAATTCTCTGAACTGATGTGTAAAATGAGTAATTGTTAGAGTTTAATTTAATATTTGCTTTTCCAGAGGTAAAGATTTAGTATCCTTAACAGGTCAGAGGGAGAGTGGATAGTGTCAGCGATGGGACTCGTTAGCACTTTTTGTCAGTAATAAGCATCCTCTTTTGTTTTCTTGAAATTATCACCAAATCCTTTGTTGTTCTCTGTCCAAGACTGGTGTCTGTGCAGAAGTTATGAAGTTGTCTGAAGGCCACTGTTCGCTGGTGTGGGTTATTCCTGCCCAGGAGCAGGACCCTGCATTTCCTTTGTTGAATTAAGGTTCTTCAGTGTTTAGCGTGTCTTGTGTAAAACTGGTCTGGTGCTTGCATGTTCTAATTCACAGCTTGAAAAATCTCTTAATTCCCTGATAAGGTAATAGATAGATATAATATCAGCATAGTCAGCTTGTTAATTTCTCTCTAGATAGGCATAAACATGATCTTGAGTCTGCACTACTTTGAGCTTTTCATACTTACTGAATTTATGTCAAGTGATGTGAATTTTGTTTTGTTTCTCATCCAGGTTTTTTGTCACTAGTAAAAAGTTTTAAACTCATCTTTAGTCATCTCATGAGTACTTATTTGCTTAGTAATATGGAACAGCTGGTAACTCACACCATTATTCTGAGACAGTAACATTAGCAAAACTTTCTATTTTGAGTATGCTAAATGGTAAACAATTATGTGTTAGAAAAGTGTTCTAATCTTTGATCGGTAGCTTGACGTCAGTGATACAGATTGTCTGATTGCTGTTTTGGAAAATGGGATATAGGACTTGACAATGTGAAATACGTTTTGCTAATGCTGCTTTCTTGGCTTCAGTGTCACAGTGGCTTCAGCATTCCGTCTCTCTCTGAAACCAGAAGTCAGTGACAGTATGACTCATATGATGGTGGACTTTGCCCTGGAAAAGCGGATGCTCCAAGCTGTGAAGTTTTTGCCAGGTAAAAACCATATTCAGTGAGTTTAATTTGTTGCTATGTGAACAGCTTGCTATATTTAAACCAGCCAAACAAAAGAAAATTGCATCTCTTGCGCCCTAATAAGCAATTTTTTCAGAGTACCTAAATTAATTCTTAGTCATTGTATGTTAAACTCTCATCCTCAAGGTATTCAATTTTCTAGTTTTATTGTGTTAATTTCTACACAAGACACCACTTTGGACAACAGTATTGATCTCAGAAGTGAGAGTGAGTCTTCTGGACCAAGTTTTTTCATGAGTTGTTAGTTCCTCTGTACTCTGTGAAGTTACGTGAGGTTTCTTAGGACTGTCCATGCCAGCTTGATCCTGAGTGACACTCCAAAGTCCTGCTCATGTGCAGCAGTGTTGTGTGAAATTGTAAACTTAGACATTGCTTGCAAGAGTGGTGACATAGTCTGAAATACAGGGGAGAGACAGTCCACTAGTACAGTGATACCACCATATTACAAATTGTGTATTAATCTGTCTATTCCTGTTTGATAGTAAGCTTGGGTGCATTAGACCAGCGTGTATCTTTCGTGCCTTTTTAATCCTATTGCTTTCCAATTTAAAACACTTTGCCCTTGGCTGTTACTGAGAATATATTGACAAGAACACTGCTGGCAGGGATGTAAAGTTGTTTCGTCTCTAGGTCACGAATCCAATTCTGTTAAGGACTTGGCAGCATCAGTTTTCATTTCTGCCCCATGTGTTGCAGATACAGTATGTGGTGGCAGGTGTAGTAAATGACCACTGTTATTCCTAGTGGTCATCTGGCAGTGTCCAGGCAGAAATTCACCTTCTAGTCTTGGACTCTGGGTGTCAGTCACTGCCCTGGATTTCACAGTGCATGTGTTTAACAGCAATGGGAGTGCAAAGATCTAACAGCAAGTAGGAACAAAGTTTTGTATCTAGATAAAGGTATTATTTAGTATGACCCTTCTTAGACATTTTTCCTTGTTAAATAGATAGGAATTTGAAATGGGCCTCTGATTTGTTAACAGGAAAATTGACTGTTTGGGTATCAGTCTTGCTTTTTCAACTATAGTGCTGTGCTTCCAAATTACTCAGACATCAAAAGCTCAGACTGAAAACAATAAAACTTCGTTTTCATTTCCTTCATTAAAAGTCTGCCTTGCATGTCCTTTAGACTCTACAAATATTATGTAAATGCTTGTTTTTCCAAAACTTCTTTTCCACAGACTTAAGCATTGTTTGATTTTGTTTAAGAAGAATTCTGTTGCCTGTAAACAAAACTTAAGTCTTTAGTGGACCTTAGGAACTGTTTCCCCTCTCCTTCCAAGGCAAAGGGGTGAAAAGAAAGGAAAACTGGGTAACTGAAGAGAAGCTAGTGGAAAATATTAGTGTCTGTAGTGTTGGAAATAAATACAAGTGATGCTGTGTGAGGGGTGCAGCTGAACTTACCTCCCACAGACGTAGGAACAGAAGTGTGCTTCTTGGTGTTTTTCCTGTGTGGTGTTGATTCCAAATGTGGGTTCATATTTTTAAGTCCACTCTACTCTAGCCTTCTCTTTTTCAAACTGACCTGTGTGCCTGTCTTTCTGCAGTCCCTAAAGCTCCAAAGATAGATGCAGAAGCATGTCTGGTTGCTGACAACTGCATAACAGTGTCATGGAGAATGCCTGAGGAGGACAGCAGAATTGATCATTTTGTTCTGGAGTACAGGAAAACCAACTTTGATGGGCTGCCTCGAATAAAAGGGGAACAGCGCTGGGAGATAGTGGACTACATTAAAGCTACTCAATACACATTGTCAGGTAAAGGTTTTTTACACTTCAAACCCAAGAATATTGATATAACTCTTTAAGTTTGGAAGTTTTGCAAAGTGCCCATTTTTCTGCATGTAATGAAGCTGCCATTGCATCATATCAGTTGTGGGTGCTTTGTACAATAACAGTTCTGTCTTTTATTTTGACTTTGAGGTTTTATCAAAAATTGTGTGTTAAATGAAGTTCACACTGGTCTTCAAGCATGTTTTTTGCAGATTGAGATAAATGAAAGACAGCTACATGGGGATAGATCTTAGTCTTGTAGGAGTCATCAGAAATAAACACAACTTCAAATTTGTAAACATTTGTTTTGTAGGTCTGAAATTTGATACAAAATACATGAACCTTAGAGTACAAGCTTGCAACAAAGCTGTGGCAGGTGAATACTCTGACCCCGTGACTCTGGAAACCAAAGGTAAAGTTTGAAAAACTCTTGAACCTTATCTGTGGTGAAATCCTGCACTTAAACTTATCTGCCTTCATACATGAGCCTGTTGTGTTCAGTCTGCTTCTGCATGAGCCCTGCTGAAACACTTCCTAAGTGGAAAAGGGAGCAACTGTAAAGGATTAAGAAGCTTATTGGCACAAAGCTGCCCTTTTGGCATTCAGACCCTGAAAAAAATGGGGCACTTAATGTCACTTTCTCCAAAAGCTTGGCATTGGTTGCTTTGAACTGTGGAGTGACAGTCCCATGTGCTGCTGTATGATGCCAATATACAGCAAGAAGAAGGATGAATGTTATGGGTGACTCTTTGGGCATCTAAACAGTTGGTGTGATTATCCTGTTATTGGTGGCAGACAGAATTCTGTAAAGAGAAGTTGCTGGAAAGAGTTTTCTTGACATTGTAGGTGCAGTTTCTGTTCACTGTCAATATTTAAAAAGCTGGCCGCTTCAAATTGCCTAAGGTATGTAGTCATGGTGTTAGAAGTCAGTTATCTGGGAATTGTTAGAGTGGCTTCCTAACATTTTGTTAATAAACTGAAAGAAATTTCTTGGAAGAGATGTTTTGTGACAGAACACAAATCTTAGCTGTTAAGGTGAGCGAGTGATCCTGCGGTTTCATTTACATCTGGGTCTGGTGTAAAGGGTAAAATGACTGGTATCAATTGTATAATTTATATAAGTAAAAATTCTGTTCCTTTTGAGTATTATTTTATAAGAGTAAAGCTGTACAGAATTTGAATGAGCTGGTGGGCATTCTGGTAACTTTTCTGTAATTATTTTAATACTCTTAAGCAACAGTCATTGTCAGAGACTTAGTATTTGTTTAATAGCCACATAATTCCCTAGTCCAGTACCAGAAAAGTACTTCTGGTTTTGATTGTCTGGGCAGTTACCATGCTTCCCATATTATTTTCGTTATTCCTGGGCGAACACTTAGTTCACTTTCTTTAATAATCATCCCGGAGAAAATCAATTTCCTTGTCCATGTGCTTAACCTGACTGTTGTTTACACTTGTGCATTTTTGAGCTCTAAGCTCTTAAAAATCTCAAGTATATGTTCTTTCAGGGTCAGACTGTAATATCTGATGATACCAGGACATTTATAGAACAGTCTGTAAATATATTTAGGAAATTCAGTCTGTTGTATTAGTTTTTTTGGGTTTTTTACATTCCAAGTGTCAGACTGAAAAGCTGGTGTTCCCATTATGCTCAATAAAGTTCTGTGACAACTTTACTACTGCTTCTATAATTTTCTCTGAATAACCATTATACCATTTCACTGTTTTCTATTTTCTCTTGACCAGCATTTCTCTTCAATTTGGACAGTACTTCATCTCATCCAAATTTGAAAGTTGAAGACACCTATGTTGAATGGGATTCTACTGGAGGCAAAGGCCAAGAAAAAATAAAAGGGAAGGAAAATAAAAACAGGTAAGAACTCTGTTTTGTAAGTGTCTAGCAGATCTCTTCTGTCAGTTAAAGGAAGAGGGCAGGAATTAAAGCACTTGGGGACAGTGGGACATGAGAGGAATTTTCATTCAGAAATGTTTCTCTGGAAGAAATTTTTAATTTTTGGTATTTCCCTTCCTCTGTCACACTGATGTAGAGGCTAGAATTGTGTGGTAATTGTTAAAGAATATTTATTTATTTAAAAAATGCATTCGTTAGGGTATCATTCGGTGTACTGAGCTAAGGTGTAGTTATGATGGACTGACCATGGCTACCCACCAGGTGCTCACCCACCTCCTCTACAGCTTCTCCTTGTCCTGGTACCAAAACCTTGCCACATAAGGCCAGGGCAGTAGATAAGGTAAATGTGAACAGGCAGCTGATGTAATTCTGTGTTTACTAGTGTTGCAGGTCAATTTTGGTCAATAGACAAGCATTTCTACTATAAAAAAATAAGGAAAGAGCTGACTGCCTTGCCCTTTTGAGAAAGAAGAGGTTAAATAAAACTGGTACTATATATAAGTAGTGTCTGAATTTATCTCAAACCCTCATTGCAGGGGAAGATGTACCAATAGAACAGGCAACAAAAGGTAAGGGATAATGAAACACAACTGTTGTGGATGTGGCAGCTCTCTAAATATACTGCTTTCATCCAGGAAAAGCACTTAACTTCAGCAGAGCTCTTGGCAGATTTTTAGATGTCTGCTGTTCTGAGTCATTGGATAAACACTGTTGGAAGAATGTTTGACTCTGCCTACTGTGGCTGAACCTTGAATATTTCCAGGGATGAAGAATGTGTGGATGAGGAATGTGTTAACTTGCTAGCCCTCTGTTCCAGCCCACTTCTATGGGAGGGGAGAAATATCCTGGTACCTGACCGGAATTCCCTGTGGTGCAGTGACTCCCAAGTGCTTCTCAGCCACCAGTGTGACCCCTGTGAGGACAACCTGGCTTGGTCTTCTTCTCCCCTTCTTGTTCCCTCATTAAAGACAGCAGTTGGTTCCTGTTTCCCTCAGGCAGAGCAAACACCATTGTCTTTCTGTGCCCCAGACCTTAACTGTGGTGTTGGCTCTCCACAGATTTGCTCTGGTATGTCAGGGTGTAAATCTGAGGAGCCCAGACCTGGGCACAGCTGTCAAAAGGACAGGAGAAGTCACCTGCTTTGAGCTCCTGGTCACTGTGTTGGGGCTACAGGCTGGGTTTGGCTGCCCAGCTCTGCCACGAAGGCACAGGGCGCTGTTGTTGTCAGCTTCTGCTTCCCAAACTCTCAGTGGATTTTCTGCAGAGCTGTTCTTCCCTTGGGTGTCCCCCAGCCTGTCCTGCTGTGTGGATTTCCCTCACCTGGAGGGCTGTGAGCCCGGTGTTCAGCTGGATATGTGCAGAGCCCCACTCCCAGTCTGTGCCTCACCTCTTGGGCTTTGGAGATACTCTGTGGGAATGGGTCCACACAACTGGCTACTGCCTCGGCCACAGTTTATTGGCTTTCCATAGTCACAGTTTGAGATAATTTATGAAAAAAATACTTTATCCACAGGCATATATTGCCTGAAGCATGATAGAAGAACTTCTGTTGGCATTTTAAAACTGGGGATAATTTACAGTAGTGCTAGACCGGTTCTTTAATGACTACTTATTTCTGTCAACAGTGGCCAGCATCGTGTGCGGAAGAACAATAGAAGGTGATAATATACCTCTTACTCCTAGGATCTAGCACCTGGTTTTGTTGGGAATCTGTGCTACTTTCCTTTCCTTGATGTCCTGAAAAACAAATCTAATAGCCTTTATCAGTAACAGTGCACATGAGCATTTAGAAGTTATTTTGCAATTTAATTTGGATTCACAGAGATTATATATTCTCCAGTGATTGGAAGAGAGTCTTTCTGGAAGGATTCATCCTAATGTGTATGAAACCTGATTTGCATTGGCTGGAAGGCCATAGTGTATTTTAATGTTGATCCAAAGATCCATGTTACTTACAGACATAGTGATGCTTTCTTAACCCTTTAGCAAATTTTTTACGAATATGATAAGATCTCCTTTCTGAAAACTCTAAAGTATTTTTGGTGATTATTTCTGAACATCAAAAACCTCTTTGCTTCTGAACTTGTGCTGTAGCTGTTACTAGATATCAGAGGGTAAGAAGTAAGTATTTTTACATATTTGAAGAGGATGAAGCATATGTTAAAAGCTTCATGGCCATTCCAATTGCAGAACCAAGTGTTTGAATGAGGAGTCCTTTTTTTTGAGATGCAAAGTGAGGTAAAATATTCTCCTATCCTTTGTGCAATTGTAGTTTTTTAGTATCACATATTTTCATTGTTTTTCTAGTGAAACACCTTTCTGAGAAATTGCTTCTCCTGGTTTTGATATTGTGCTTTCTTTTGCTGCTTTAGAAGTTGTGGGATCAAAAGAAGTGCCCAGGATCCTAATTTCTTACAGGTTTTACTCCCCTGTTATTCATCTATCAGGTGGATCTATCTCTGATTTGAAATCAGAAGTAAAAAAAAGCTTATATAAAAAGCTTATATAAATAAGCTATTGAAGCCATGGAATTTCAATTGTTGTACTACACAAATTATAGTAATTTGTACTAACCTAAGTTTAAAAAATGTCTTGGAGATGCTCCTACTTGTTCTGCTCAGGGAATTTTACACCTTGGTCTTCCTTTGTAGCTGTCAGAGCTGTCAGCTGTCAAGAACTTTCCTAGTTCTTGGCTCTGCTTTGGTGGAAGGACATGGTCACATGTTCAATTTTGCATCTCAGACTGACCTTTTCTAGTAGGGGATATGAGCTTTGTTCTTGTTAGGAGGCTTTTATTCCCACCTAGAAACATCTGTGAGATGTCTGTGTTAGAAGGGAAATTTGGAGCTGGCTCCATGGGAAGTCAGAGAAAAAATTGTAGTATAGTTACTTTAAACAAAAAATAGGCAGTTTTTAAGAGTTGGAAATACACAATGGCAACAAAATTCTTAATTTTCTTTCATGTATTAGACCAGAAAAAAGCTTCTCAGTAATTTCTGATCTTCTTCCTTGACCTTTCTTCTCCAGAAGAGAATACATCTTGTGTGGAATATAGTCTGAAATGGATGAGGAAATGGAGATTAATTGCAGTGCTGTAGGCAACAATCCTAAACCATGAGACAAGAATATTTGGCCACTGAATATTGGAAGAAATGTGTCAGTTACTGGCTAATAAGGACCGTGCTCTACTGGAAAAAGGGCACAGAACTGGCTTCCTGCTATGAAATTTGCTCCCTACCATTGGAAGGGAGATATAAGCACTGTGGAGGAAAAGAAGCCTGAGCAACTGGTTTTTTGCAGCTTTTATGTCAAATAGTCAGTGTAATTTTCTGAACTGATAAAGGCTATTAAATTTTGAAAGGACAAAGCACATGCAGTGGCCATTTACAGACTTGAACAAAGTAAATTATACCAAGAAGCTTTTAATGCTTCCTTAACCTTGAGAAAATTCTAGCAAAGTGCCTGCATTTTTCTTACTGTGATTCTCTAAATGGCCACATTGCTACATTGCTTTCTGCATAGCCCGTTTTTACTGAGTCTAATAGAAAATTCTCAGCAGCGTTTGTTGGGAGCGCGAGTGGATGCTATCTGATGCCCATGAAGCAGGTTGGAATCTGCAGAGTGCCTCCCTCCAAAATTATGCTTTAATTCTTGGCTTTGATTTTTTTTTTTTCATGCTATCACTTGCTAACTTTTTCCTTTGGTAAGTAAACTGCAGCATCGTCCATATTTACAAAATCCAAAAGCACTTGATGTGGTGCACGTGTACACTTAACCCCTTCATGTATCTCTTGTGAGCAGTTTGTGAACAGTTAGTTTTCTTCTGTTACATGCTAAATAGTGATGCTCGAGTAAACAGCGTTTTCATCACTTTTTTTTTTTGTTTTGGTAGGCTTCTGTAAATGGAATAAAAAAACTTGGTCATGAACCAGATTTTAGCATACATATATCTGGCAGCTTAGAATCACATAGCTTTTGATTCCCATGTGACTTTATTTTCGTAGTTTTATTAGGAAAAAGGGACATGTCCCAAACCTTTCTGGAATGGTTTTTGAGAATAATAAATGAATTGGAAAGAAAACAAGCTGGATTTCACTGCATTAATGGACATAAAAGTAGCAAGTAGGTTTACTAAATAGTAGCTGACAGAGCAGTTGGAGAGAAAAATCTTCTGTAGGTGATATTTCTTCCAAGGCTAATGTGTGATAGACTGCAAGGGATGAGAAATTGAAAATTACTTCTCAAGTGTATTTCAGAAACTGACTTTTTACTTTTTTGGGGTTTTTGTCAATGAAATTAAACTGTAAAAGTGCACAGCTATTTCTGAGAAGTTAGAATTCTTTGCTTCTGATTGCCTTTAAAGTAGTAAGCAGATGTGATTCTCTGTCTACTGAGGAATATTGCAAATAGCCCTCACTCAGTTTAATGGTTAAATTATTGGTAATTATTTCTGAGGGCTTAACTGAGGTTAAAAAAAGTTTGAAAACCTCATTAGGTTAAAATTATTCTTTTATACAACTTGATTGCTCATTAGAATATTCTCCATCCTAAAGTGTTTCATTCTAACCACGTGCCACACATCTGCTTTTTTCCCCTGCCTCTGTTTCCACTCTCAGCTGCCTCTGAACCTGTTTGTTTTTTTTACAACATTCTGTATGTTTTCTTCTGTCACCTCTTCCCTCTCAGCTGTTGTGCATGCATGCTGCTAGAGTCATCAACTAATGTGTCATTTCCAGAGTGTTTGTGTGTGTCTCTTGCACCTGAGGGGCTCAGGGACACCTGGGTGTGCACTTCCGTGGCCAAGTTTTGAGTGGTTGATCTCTCCTGTAGAAGCAACACAGCGTCTCCGAATAGATCCGCGAACAGCCCGAGGGCCTCGGCGAGGGGCAGCCGGGATCGCTTTGCTGGTGAATCCTACACAGTGCTGGGTGAGTTGAGCTTGTTTGCTCCGTTAGGAAAGGGCAGATCTGGCAAGAATTAGAGGGAAAGTTTGTGATTGTTTAATAAGGCTGTGTACTCAGCATTGTCCTGCCCAGAGCAGTTTGCCCATGTAACACCAGAATTTTCTGTCTTCAACTCTGCTTTGGATTACAGAGCTCTTAGTAACTGACATGCACTGCTTTTAAACATAAATTGGTGTTAAATGTATCTTGTTGTAATAAGCACAGATAAATACAGTCTCATAATACTGTTTTATATTTATGTTCTATTATACAGTTTTCTTGTTCCTTATGGTTCAGATTTCTTTGCCTTAAAATAAGACAGAGAAGACATCACTGATGCCTGTTAGGAAGGCAGCAATGTAAGGTACACTCAGTTGTAATTAACTACACTTGGTTGTAATTAAATGTATTTCTGTTGGTAGGAGACACTGCCATTGAAAGTGGACAACATTACTGGGAAGTGAGAGCCCAGAAGGACTGCAAATCCTACAGCATGGGAGTAACCTACAGAAGCCTGGGGAAGTTTGACCAGCTGGGAAAGACTAATTCCAGCTGGTGCATCCATATCAACAACTGGCTGCAAACCACCTTCTCAGCAAAGCATAACAATAAAGCAAAGACTCTGTGTATACCTGTCCCAGACAGAATAGGAATATACTGTGACTTTGACAGAGGTAAATTACTCCATAGGAGATTTGGTAAAAAGAGTTAGTTACTATTTCTGTTGAGCTGGAGCAGTCCAAGGCTGAGGAAGTGCATTACTTCCAGACTGATCCAGTCTCGCATGACAGCACAGATCCTAAGTGCTTATCATGTCAAATGACAGAGTTCATCTGTGTGACAGAGCTACTGAAATTCAGGGAAAATAGTGAATTTTCACTCTTGCAGACTGCATTTAGTGTGTTCTGGAAAAGAATAAAATTTTTTGTACAAATTAGACAGCAGCTGCATCTTAGCTTAAACTATGTTTAAGGTGAATTTCAACTTGTTCTCTGTCTTTCTCTCTCTCTTAGGTCAGCTCTCATTTTATAATGCGAGTTCAAAGGCATTGTTACACACCTTCAGAACAAAGTTTACCCAGCCATTGCTACCAGGCTTCATGGTCAGTATCTATAAAAGCTTGCCATTTCTAGCACTGAATTCAATTTTAATTGTTTTTTAAAGATAGAAACTGCAAACACTTGGTTTGGCTAGTAATTTTTAAAAGCGTTTAACTGTGTTCTTTTGGGTTTTGTGTGGTGCTTACAGTGGCACCTCAGCAGGACTCTGCACCTGGATGTCTCAGCTATGTAAATAGAAGTAATTAAATTTGTGTATAGGAAATTAATAGCACATTGCAGTGCTGATGAGCCCACTGCAATAACTGATCCGAACTGTAGAACTGGAGTCCAGGATTCTGGAACTGGATTCTGAACTCCAGGATTCTCTGAGCCATCAGAGCAAGTGTCATGAGACACAACAGCTCCTGATGCTTTCCAGTAGGAAAAAAGTCTCTACCTTTCACATCTTGAAAAGCGCAGTGGGATTTTCTTGCCAGTCAGTTCAGTGCCCTGCATAACCTTTTTTTGTCATTCTAAGCTAATTGGTGACAATTTTCTGCAGTGTTTAAAGCTCAAACCTCGCCCAAAACACACAGGAGAAGGATCAGTTACTGTTAGTTTTGCTTTGATGATTTAAGTAATTGGTTTCGCTAATTTGGGAGGCCTCAGTTGTGTTGTAAGGTGCCATCAAGTGCATCATGCTGTGGGAGCAGGGTGTGTAGACCTGGGATTTTAACAGGACTAGATTTTTTCACGGCTGTTTATTTGCCTTGCTGATCCTTTTCAGCATCGGGGCAAAAGAGCAGCTCCAGAGCTACTGGGATACATGTGTTAGCCATTCCCTAGCACAGCAAAGGCTGACTCATGTAAATTCAGTTCCCAGGTCATCTGGGGAAACAGCTGCTTGCCAAAATGCAGGCTGTCCCTCTGCACCTCACACAGCCAGCCCCTCACAGAGTGACAGCAGCCTTACTGACTGAACAGGACAAGTGAAAATTACAAACTACTTAATTACAGCTCTCAAACTTATTTATAATCATGAAAAGACTGCATTCTTTCATGTGCAGAATAGAAGTGGTGGACACCTGTGCCCATGAAGCTTCTCAATTTTTTTCCTGTGTTATATGTTTATGATTATATAATTCTAGTATGACATGGCAAAAATAAGCACTGCTTTGAAGAACTGGAGCATAGTGAGAAATTTGCTTTTCATTGTCACTCTACTTGCTGCTGTCACATTTGCCTTCAAAGAATTTTTCTAGTTAGGAGCAAGTGATTTGAGCACTAGGTCTTAGTAATGAACTTATTTATGAAGCATCTTAGACTTTATGGACTTAAAAATCAGCATCTCTGTGATTAGAATATTTTACAGAGGGCTGTGACAGAGAACCTGCAGCTGTGTTTGTGTTAGTTAATTGTGGGATGGGAGGAGAGAGATGTGTTTGGTTCATAATGCAGATTTTTTTCTTTTCCCCCCCAGATCTGGTGTGGTGGGGTCACAGTGACTACTGGACTGCAGGTGCCAAGTGCCGTGAAGACTCTTCAGAAGAATGAAAATGGATTGGGTTGTTCAACAAGCAGCCTAAACAATGTTGCCTAGTAATGTCTGTTCAACACTTCTCCTGCTGAATGTTTTTGTTTTTTCTGTGTAGCTACTGCTCACAGAAGCTTGTGAGCATTGGATTTTGCTGGGTTTGCTACCTTCTGCTGTTTAGGGCCTGGGTACTGATAGTGCAAAGGTTTGGGGCTAAAGTGTTAGGAACCAGAGCTGGGAATCCAGAAAAATGTCAGAAAGCTGAACTGTTGCCTATTTGACAAAAAAAAAAAAAAAAAGAAACCAAGAGTTGTAACTATGTACTTTTCTAATACTGTATTCAAGCATTTTGTTACAGACTTGAATATTAATTTTGTTATAAATACTATTCTTCTATGAAGAATATAGCAAATACAGTTTTTTAGCTCTCCTAATGGAAATTACTTAACTATGTATTTAATTATTACTAGGCTTCCCATTAGAAGCTGTGATTTCTGAGATGCATTTTGAAGACATACTGATTTTTCATGGCCTAGCCTGGCAAAATACCACACCAGCATGGCTGCAGAAGGATATTACAAGAATGTGTAGGCTTGGTATGAAGAAACAGTAAAGAGCAGGCTGTGATTATTTCCCCCAGGGATAGAAAATCTTTCTATTTTCCATGGGTAACTCGATTTTAAAATGATGTGTATTGATTTTGGCTCCTGTGTGTCACCATTGCATTAATTGGATTCTAATTACCTTGGAAAATAACATGTAGATGTTCCATTGCCTTGATTCCCATTTGGAAGCCTAGTAAAACAGTAGTCAGATTATTCATAGTAATGGGAGAGCTAAAAAAAGAAGAAAAAATAATGTTATATTCTTCCTGGAAAATCCCAGCTTTGCAGTGGGAATTACTAGGTTATTACAGGCTTTTTTAATCTGCTTTCTTCCCTCTAATCAAGCCGAGGAGCCTATAAATAGTTTCAGGTACACTCTTGAATCAGGTGTTTCCTAACTGAAGATTGTTTTCTGGTGTCAGCCTGAAAACTGTTACAAATTCATGGTCCTTAACGATTTGGCTCATTTACTGCTGGGCCAATATATTTTCCTTTTGTGTATCCTTTAGCCCATAAAACCATAAGCATCTAATCGTGTTAAACCTCAGTATTACCAATGGCTCCTCTCTGTCTGTCACAATTTCTCAAGATAAGAAGAAATTCCTTGAGACCTTCTAATAAACTGGCTATGATGTTCAGAGAAAAGTTAAAATTATCAAGGAAATGTAATTACCTGTTCTGGAAAGTGTTGTTTTTCTTGAGGAATCATGAAGTTGACAGGTTGGCTGAGCCCTAAATGTTTATTTTGCATCTGGAACTTGAGCATCTCTTAATTATGTGCATTGTGAACTTGTAATCTCTTTTTGCAGAGGAAAGTACAAACTAGTTCCCAGTTTAACTGTACCTTCTTCTGTGTGTTCTGTTGCTTGGGCTTTGGGACAAAGATCCTCAGAAGTGACGTGGTTCTTGGTCAACAGTGTTTGAATCTGCTTCACACATTATCTGCAGATGTTACTGTTATGCAAATACTCTGTGTATAACCTTTTCTCTTTCCATTTTACTGCAATGGACACCTGACTAGGAGTTCTTGGGGATAAATTGCTACAAACTCAGTTTTGCAGCCAGTTCTAGTCCGGGGATATGGTGCCCAGGCACCAGGACAGACTGGCACCTCTTCATCACCACTCATCATTTGTCTTGATCTTGGGTGTTCAGCTGCAGTTCCTCTTCAAATTTCCCTTTGTGGAAAGGAAGGGGATGTTTACAACCAGCTAATGTGTTGTGAGTACCATGAACATTATCCAGCCTTCTTCAAGAGCATTTAAATTATGAAGGTTTTTTTGTTTGGTTTTTTTTTTTTTTCTTCATTTTCAGCAAGCTGTAGTGTAACCTGCAAGGTGAATTTGATGTGCACCGATGTAAAAATGTAATTTTTCTTATAACAGTTAGTTAGAGGAAAGCTTGGGAGTGTTTCATACTGTGACTTGTGACTTGCAAGTTTTGGTTTAACTGATGTCCTAGGTGAACCTTAACATGTGACTTTTTACCCTTAAAAGGATGGATTTGTTATATAATAGTTTGCACAGATGTCGAATTTTTGCTGCTAACATCTAGTCCAGTTGTCTTTAGTAAATGGGGATATGAAGAATTGCCTTAAGCACTTTTGGTATTTTTTTGGTAGACTGTTTTTTTTCTGAACTAGTGTCTCTCCAGCACCCATTGTCATAGTAAGATGAGCGACCCCACACTGCTCCCAGTGATCCTTTTTGTTGCAGTGGGTGCAGGGTTTATGCCTGCAGCTGGACAGGGATGCCTGGAGCCTGCGGAGTTACCTTTTCCTTTGTGAATCCACTTCAGGGATTTGGAGAGGGGCGGCTCTTTGGCAGTGGGTCAGATTTTTTGGAGGTCTATAGTTCACCAGGCTTATTTTACTCCGGAGTGAATACTGCATGGTGGCAAGACAGGAGTTTTCTGCTCTATGACCAAAAGGAGATGCTTAATTTTTTTCTTTTCTTTTTTTTTTTTTCTTTTTAAGTGGTTTTAACTCCGAAAGCCTGACTTCTGAGAAACTAAAGGTTTTCCTTGGGGTATTAATACACCAGATGAGCTTAGCTGCCATTCTCCCATGGAAAACTAAGAACTGTGTTAACTGCAGCTAGACATGTCAGTGTCAGACAGGATAATAAAAAAATAAATAAAAAACCAAAAAAAAAAAAAAAAAAAAAAAAACAAAAAAAAAAAACACACCGGGGAAAAAAAGGCCTTT